CTCCCGAAGGTTCGAGAAAGAAGTGGCATGATACTAGTCACGTGACCTCGCTGACGCAACAATATATTAAGGATTATAGAAATGGGAATAGAACAGCAACAGTGTTACACAAAAACTGAAGCTAACACACAAATGAGGAAAATAAAACAGACGTAAATTCATACTAGTTAGAAAATTTTAAACTTAGCAACTGGTGCTTTATTATGTTTTATTTTCTTTTTAGAGACCATATCTAAGTACTTAAATATCATATACAGTGTTAAGTAATTCATACTTAAAGATATGCCAAAATTACTGTACAACCACCAACTACCTATCGATTAGTTAATCTTGCTAGTCACCAGATGGAGGTATCACTTCAATGGAGAAACTACTAACAAAGGAAGAAACAAAATAATATGTGGCTGTTCATATTTTTCTATTTTTTACAGTTATTGGGTCCGAATTCAATTGAAAGTTAATGTTTTTGAAAGAAACCATTAGGTGGATAGCATATACAAAGAAATAGATATACACACACACATTACATAGATACACGTAGTAGTCTAGCACATAAGCACATTGGTTTGGTTTGTTATGAATTTCGTGTGTAACGAATTTATTATTATATATTTATTTTAACATCAACGTTTGTTTAGATTAAGTTTATATTTAAAACATGCATAGCTTATAGTGTTAGATATGTAATACGAAACTCCCACCTATTCTCCAAAGTTGTAGAAGATTGTCGAGAGTAAGAATCAACAATATATGTATGTACTTAAACGTTTAAATGTAGCTCAGTATTGTTACGTAAATCTTAATTTTCTAGAAAGCCTCCAAACGCCTACAAATATAACCAATGCGACGCGGCAAAAAGGGTAGCTGTTATTAATTCGCTGTAGTCAGTGTGCTATAAACTTCGGAAGCTATAACTGTGATTGTTATAACGCTTATCACTCGGAAAACTTAAAATATTTGACCAGGAGCATTTGCAAAATTCGACCATTACAAGTCATTTAACTACATTGGATTCACATCGGACATTATTATTTTTTACGAAAACATTATATAAATTCATCGTGGAAAACTCGGCATGTGTGGCTGGTGAATAACGAAGGTCAAAGCTAGCTAGCTTCCTGTTAAGTGAATTATACCTACGTCAACTCGTAATCAACTCGCTCAGATAAGATATCGAAGAAGTTCCAGACTAGAAAGAAGACTTTATATTGATTGTAAATTTGTGAAACTTCTGTTTATAAATCATTCTTTGTAATAACTATTTGTAATAACAGTTATTGTAAATTGTATTTTTGTGTGTATATTAAAACGTGTTTGTGTTAAAAAAAGATAACTGCGTGTATCAATCTTGATGGCAAATATCATAAACTGATTATATATCGGCTTTTACTTAACTGCTAAATCTAAAGTATAATTAAACTATTAAATTTAAATTATCAGTTTACTCAATATCAGACCATTTGAAATTCTAATAAGTAACAAAAGCTACACGAGGACTATCTGCGTTAGCTGTCCCTAATTTAGCAGTGAAAGATAAAGGAAAGGCACCACCCACCGTCTACTCCTGGGCTACTCTTTTACCAACTAATAATCACCCGTCATATTATAACGCTCCCACGGCTGAAAGAACGAGCATGTTTGGTGGGACGGGGATTCGAACCCGCGACCCTCAGATTGCGAGTCAAACCCCCTAACCCTTTTTGCCATACCGGTCCATAATCATATTGTTTATATACTTCTATACAAATGTGATACTTGGCATATTTTATTCAATCTTAGGTTCAAAATATTTTCTATGGTGCCTGTATCGTCTCCCGGTGGCCGTCGCGAACAAGTAATTTACCAGTTGAAGGGTTTTAGATCATAGTTTCATCAATAATTGGTCAATGAAGTCACAATATGGCTCAAAATGTTTGTATGAATGTAAGAATTATTATCACGCAGCAATCAGTAAAGCAATCGCTAGCCATTTCATTAAATGGCGAGCAAAAAGAGCTACAAAAATGAACAAACATCGTTGCTTAATATCATTAGTTTTTTTGTACATCTTGGCCTCTTTTTCTAGGCTACAGTTCTATGTCCTTGTAAAAAATGTTGAAACAGTATTGATACCTGTGGCGTAAAATTATATACGATATTATAACTTAAAAAAAGCACGTATTGATCATTTTTTGCCAATAATCTTACCACCCCCCCCCCACTTTTCTTTGATCAAACGTTTAACATGTAAAGTTAGCCACTGGGCCACGCCCGGTCCATTTTGTTTCTCACTGTTCCTATACTCTTGCATCAGGCAATGAATTTTTGAAACACGATGTAACTCATTATTTTGTTACAATATTACTAAAAAAGCGATGTATAATTAATAAAAAAAAGTAAGTCGAATGTTTAGGAGTTGAGCCTTACTCTAGGGGAATATTTAAGTTATACTCGGAAGTCTATTTTTATTTATTGATTGTAAAGTGCAAAGCTGTACACTAGATCAGTGATTCTCAACTTGTTCCAGTATCATTCACCCATATAAGTTTTTCACAACAGCTCACTCAGCTTAGTTCGAAAAAAAGATAAAAAAGTACTAAATTAAAATGCAAAATTCTTTAATATGACTTAGATATATATCAAACTACAACTAAGATTAATTCAACAAAAAATAAATGTGTTTATCAAACTAAAACTAGAATGAGTACAACATAAAATAAAATAAATGTATTTATCAATTATTCACCCAATTGAGTTTGTTTGGAATCAAGCACAAAGCTACACAATGGGCTATCTGTGCTCTGCCCGCCACGGGTATCGAAACCCGGTTTCTAGAGTTGTAAGTTCGCAGACATACCGCTGTGCCACTGGGGGGCCCCCAATTGAAAAGCACTGCACTAGACTATTTGTGCTTTGCCCACCGCGTCGATCAAACTTCATATTTCAACGTTAAAAGCCCCCAAGCTTACCTCTGAGCCATCGGAAGGCATTCTCTCAGGACTAATCTTGACATGAATTGCAATAGTTTGGTAGTACTGTAAGTAAACATAGCTCAACACTCATGAGTGTTTATTTGTAAGAAAAAGTTTTCAGTTATTTTTAGAGGATTTTTGAATCAAGTCCTAGTAATTCAATAACGTTGCTCTATAGAATGTTTCTTTCTATTTCACATCTGAGAATTGAGCAGCTTAGTCACACCTGAAAAGTCAACAGCTTAGTCACATTTGAAAGGGCAACAGCTCAGTCACGTCTGAGAAGTCAGCAGCTTTGTCATAACTGAGAAATCAACAACTTAGTCACATCTGAAAAGTTGACATCTTAGTCACCACTGAGAAGTCGTCAGCTTAGCCATGTTGTTACTTTGTCAATAATTAACAATCAAAGAAAAAATAGCTAATAAAATGAGATACAGTAAGAAAAAGCTGATCAATTTTCTGTAGCAGAAAGTGTGAATGGTAAAGAGTGTGGTCAGCTACTTACCTTCCGCGTGATGCGCGTGATCCTCTGTGAGAACGTGAAACAACACTCGAAGATTTGGATGTTCTAGTGGACTGTGTTTCTTCGGGACTGTAATCTGAAGTCTGTGTTGTCTTGTCTGCTCTGGAATTCACAGAGTTCCGAGAATAAAATGACCGGATGTACGTCAAAATCATCTTGCTAGGACTAGCCATTCCTGTCTGGCTGGATAAACGTAGACAGTTTTGCCTAGCTCAACGTATTATGCGTAATTTTTCTACGATGCTATAGTTCACGTTGCCGTGACAGCGACTAACGGCTTCACATGTTTTAGCTCAAATATATTTCACAGCATTTTCTATTCCTGTTGCGGCAAAATTATATATTTTTTGGAAACAATAGAGTATGGCTTAAACCCTACCGTGTACTGGTAGTTTAACAAACAAGTTATTCTGTAAAGAGAACAGTTGCTGTCACTATGGTAACGTCAATCCCTGCTCCTCATTAAAATCTATGGGTAGTTTCAACAGATAGTGATCACTCCTCGGTCTATATTAATAAGATTTTTAAACAACACGTAGTTTTTTATTATTACAATAGGACACCAGGTTCTGTAGAATTTTAGAAAATGAATACTTCCTAAAGATTTCTAGCATATAGAAGTGGCTGTAAGAAAAAAGGTAGTCTTGAGAAGACATATAATGTCAGGACAAACATACACTTATATAGAAAGCTAGTCCATTCCAAAACACTGCAAGAAAATATACTGGAAATAACACACAGGAAGTTATTCCCAGGAAGTAAGGAGGATAACATCTTCTTTCCTCTTACCTCTGTCTGTACAGTCTCGGCTTTGCCTGCCATCTTAATATAAGATAACACAGCGTTGGTGAACGACCATGAAATCTAACTTCCTGTTCCTTTTTGTAACAACAGAACATGGCAATTTTAGTTTTTATTATAATCCAACGAATAGAGCACTTAACAGCTACACGAGGACCATGCACGTGGACGACCATGTGCGCGATGCTTATAAAGCACGCAATACATTTCGTCTAGTTGTCTCTGCACGAGTGAAAATGACAATATTAGACCTTTTAGTTTACAGAAGTTAACCACTAAAGCATCAGGAACAGCTTAATATTAACACTAAGTTGCAAGCAAGGATTACAGAAGTTGTGGGCTCTGCTACCAACAGAGGTCTCTGCGTACGGTTTTCTCGACACTTTTCCGACATTTTAATTTACAAAGCTTCTAGGGATGCGGTGAGCGTTCGATTTTCTATTACGGTATAAATCACTTTAATTTGTTACAACCTGTAGCATGTTGAAACCCTCTGAAGTTCTCCCGCCCAAAACCCAACTGTCTATTTATTTCAGTAATAAAGTACGTGTGCATGAAGCAAAACGAAACAACGAATCAGAATGAGTACGGGAGAATATTATTGATCAATTTTTCAGAACAGTACAAGACAGCGGACATTGTGTTTGGAAAACAGTGAGTTTACGATCGAAGTCGTTCAGATGCGAACGACAGAAGAGCCGGGTTTTGGAATTTTATAACTAAAAATGACTGGTGTTAGATATTTAATAAAATGATTCACCAAAGAACTGCATGTTGGAAGTTTAAGAAAAACTTTCTAGTATTTGTCAGCTTGGTTATGCTCTAGGCACAACGTACTTAGTTTGTGAAATGAAACGCGAAAGAAAAGTTAAATAAGTTTTAGTTTTTGTATTAATGAACTAAACGGATAAAAACTAACGAAGTGAAAGATTATTAAACAATAAAGAAGTCCAGAAACAAGGCTTCAAAGAATTTTCTTTTTCCTGTTTGTATAGAAGTCAGACTTTTAAAATCATTGTTGTTGCGTATGCATAATTTGTTTACTTTTCATTGTTCGATATTATTCTAATTTTGTTGTTGTCTTTTTTTTCTATAAAAAAAAGATCGCTAACATCTAATAAGAGTTTGAATTTTTTTCACAGTTGACTCGTGGTCTATAAAATACGTTGTTTTTTTACTTAATAATTGTCAATACAATCTTAACTCCTCAAACATCCTTGATCCATTTAATAATAATAATAAATTAATTTTTAAAAACCCATATACAGGTATTATAGTGTTTTAACTATCAAGCTGTTTGTTGTTGTTGTTAAGCACAAAGCAACACAAAAGGATATTTGTGCTTTTCCCACCACGGGTATCGAAACCCGGTCTTTAGCAGTATAAGTCCGAAGACATACCACTGTGCCACTAGGGGGGTGGGAACTATCATGCAGAAGTAGATTCATTGTATTGTTTGTTTGTAATTAAACACAAAGCTACACAATGGGCTATCTGTGCTCTGCCCTCCATGGGTATCGAAACCCGGTTTCTAGCGTTGTAAGTCTGCAGACATACCGATGTGCCACTGTAACAAATGTACATTATTATTTCTATGATATTGTTACAAGAAGCTGGGAAGTTTAGAGAAAATGGGACAGGGAGAATGATTAGCTTAATTAATAAGCATAAACGTACAGAAATTACATGGTCTAAAAAGAGGATTGTACAAAACAAAAGTAAAAGGTAAACGTGTATGTAATCCATATCAAGTTTCTTTTTTGTATGTTTAGCATAATTCAAGAATATATAGCATTTGAGCAGTTCCCCACGTGGTCGCCTCTATGTTTTTTTTTAAAACCGACAACATACCTGTCAAGAGGATCCGCTTCAATGCTTTTATTCCTTTTCGTAGAAAGAACATGAGTTTTTTCGATTACGCATCAAAAGGAAATCCCAGTAAAGTTAAAAGCCTATTAGACAGATCTTTCTCATGCCAACTATGTATAAATAAAGAGGAACATCGAATATGGTGTTTTAGAAGGTAGTAAAACATTACACATTTTCATTACTATTTCTTAATATCTCAAGGATTGCATTTGATATATTTCGTGCTATACGTTTTCTTCTTCCTCTAGCATACGATTATATTATAAACATGGGCGCCCACAGAAATAATTTCAGGGGAGGGAGGGCAAAACATGTATGTAGAGGATCAACTTTTACAGTGCAAGTCAACAGACTAAAATAATGTGTTATGTGTGCTTAAACGTAAACACAGATTTACAGTTTTATTGAAAACTACTACAAATACTTAATTTAACTACGATGTTAAGCTTACATTGTAATACGTGCAATTTTTTTGTGAAATGTAAGGGGAGCAAATGCCCCCTCTTGCGGACGGCCATGATTGTAAATACTTAAACTGGATCCATTGTTCTTATGTTTCTATTACAAGTACAATAAATAGTTTGTTATTATAAACAAGGTAATTCATTGATTGCTGCGTGTTTTTTATTCTGCTTTCGTTCCTCTACTCAATATGCACATTTAAAGCTCTTGTAGAGGAGATAGAGTTACACAAAGCATCGCATTTCAGTCAAATGCTGTCAGATTTCAACATATGAGAACAAAGAAAAGCATCTAGCCCTAGGGTCTAATTCTCAAGCTCTTAAAAGAGGTAATGTTTTAGAATTTTTGCTGGACAATTAAATGTTTACAAAGTAAAACAGATGTTGTTATGATAGGATAGATTATTTCATGCTTGAGAGACAAGCATATAAATAAACAAACAAACATACCAACAGCACTGGATCTTTTGCCTAAAATATCAAATAAAACAATAATACGATGCCCGATAGTATCGCCTAAATCTCTATCTTTTTTAAAAGAAGCATCTAAACCACCTGCCCCCAGTGGCTCAGCGGTAAGTTAGTGAGCTCATAATGCTATAAATCTAGTTTCGATACCGATAATGCGCACACCGCAGATAGCCCATTTTGAAGCTTTATGTTTAACAACAGACGATCAAACAAAGTATCACCTAGATCCGTTTTACATTCCGGTTAATTCTGTTATATCTACTACTGGTAAAAGCATGTAAACTATTTCAGAAAAAAAAACAACATGTTTTTTTTAATATTATTACTTATTTTGAAGGGTTTGAAGTTTAGCAGTTGTCGCTCTTGTGGAAAACAGAAAAACAAAGACGTAATCAGCAGCTACTTGGGAAGTGTTTAAGATCACATGTCACAAAACAGCTGTTAATATGCAATGTTGTTCTGGAGAAACGTAAGGCTTAGCACATGATATTCATTTGGAAAACAAAGGCGTAATATAAATTAGCTTGAAAGTGCTAGTGTACAGCGTGTCACGTGACATCGTTCGATTTTGGTGTTGTTGGTCTTGGCTCTAACAGAATTATAATAGTTGAACTCTTTTATACGGAACTACCCTTGCGTGCTGTTGCTCGTTATTGTTATTGCTAAACCACTGACTTATTTCGCCAACTGTATCAGTCAGCAATCTTAGAAACATATCTGAAAGTCATAAAAAGCATTAAGTGCAGACTTTTCAACGGTCTGTAGGCTTAACTTTCTGAAAGAGTAGAGGTTTTCGTAGAGAATAACGTAGGTGTTTGTGGTAGCGTTTCAAGTATGCACGCTCAAGTGAGAAGCAGTACAGCTGTAGGGCTATTCTCTGCAGCATACACGTGCTCACGTGAGATATATTACCACTTTTATTGTGTTCACTAAAAACTAAGTTCATCTAAGTCTCAGATGTGCATCGTAAGATTTATTGTGATTGTGATTCATATTATGATTTATTATACGTTAAAAACATATTCCAGCTGACTGCACAATAAGATTACTCGCACCTCAAATGCTTATTTCCACTACATCTGTTTTCAAATAATTGTGTTCTTTTTAAATGAGATTCGCCACAGGTTTGATGGCATTTTCTAAACTCTTTTTTTTTTTTAAGTGGCTATATTGTGGTATATTAGTTTTTTTTTAAGATTATAAGAAATGTACTACATGTTTTACCATATTTTTTATAACAACGTTACATGCGATGCCGTTCAAATTTGATGGTTTTCCTGGGCGAAACGTAACGTGGGATGATAAATGTCAAATCAAGTAACTGGAACTCGAAAAGAAAGTAAAACCATGTGTATTATAAGTTGAAACAAGAAATTATTTACTGTATCTATTTGATTTGATGTATGTGTCATGCTTTATTTTTATTTATTCTTTAATCTCGTACAAAATTCATCACGATATCATTTTTCAAGCATAGGTATTATACAGGTATTATACACATGGTTCAAGCAGGAATTGTCACGAGTTTGTATTCAAACCACCTCACAAGGGCCTGGCATGGCCAGGTGGTTAGGACGTTATTATATGACGGTCAATCCCACTATTCGTTGGTAAAAGAGTAGCCTAAGAGTTGGCGGTGGGTGGTAATGACTAGCTGCCTTCCCTCTAGTCTTTCACTCCTAAATTAGGGACAGCTAGCGCAGATACCTCTCGTGTAGCTTTGCGCGAAATTCAAAACATACCACTTCACAAACAAGTTTCAATACATTAGACAACAGTCAAGGTATTATTTTTTCCAGCGTCTAATTATTGATATTTCATACAACTTTTATTCTTGCCAGAAATTTGATGATTTAATTTTCAAATGTGTTATTATTCGAGGAACACAAACAGTACATCGAATTCGATAAGTACATTCGACATTGTGTGTAGAAGCTAATAGCGAATGTTCCGACCAACTCGTGAAGTTCATTTGTTGCTGCAGATACGACAGGAGTTTCGTTTGATTGTTACAATTTAAATGGCAGCTGTCTTTAATGAAGTTACACGTCACTATAGGAAAACTCGAATTTAGAAATTAATTTCCAGGTTTAACACCTTCTTTTGTATGTATGTAAATCGTCTAATGCTGAGTGCTTTATCACGAATAAAGTTCTTATTATTTTAGCAATGAGCAAATTGTACCGGTAAGGTGTTGGTATGGGCCTGCCATCTCTTGGGATATTTTAACACTATTTGTGTGTGTGAGTGTGTGTGTGTGTGTATTTTTTATAAATAGGAATTAGATAGAAGCTATAATTGAGATTATTTTATAAATGATGTTTGGGCGAAAACAAACAGATGATTTTTGTTTCAATGTCTATTTTTATACAATACTCAATATGTGGACTTTGTCTTTTGTGGACTCCTCCTGCTTTTCGTTAGTTGTTAAGACGAAAATGCTGGCACGTGCTGAGTCCTCTGTTTTATGTCGTACTTTAATAAACAGATTCGCTAAACAGATGCAATATGTCAGCTCTTGAAACACATTCGCAAAGCACTCGAAAACATCCCTTCTTTAAGTTGTACTTTAATAAAAACAAAACACACGTAACAGAGGACGAGCCAAAAGTCCTGATTTTCCCCATTGTTCTAAAGTAAAGTCTGTTGACATATATATATGTTTTTTAAATATACTTGGAATACTTTTTTACCTGAAATAATGTCATGGTACAAAGACTAAATCAAGGTCTTCCAAATGCATAAATTTATAACTCACTTTGTACTAAACCAAAATTATTTTCCATTGAAAAATTATGCAAATTTATGATAAACTCATCATGAAAAACAACGTTTCTGGGGTAATATCGTTGTGCCTCACATTTTTTTTTACTTAGACATTTTACCTCCGACTAATAGTTTTCAGTAACAAATAGCCTCTCTTCCGAATATGTCTAAACACCCTATATCAGTATATCTTTGATATTCTATACATACATTACAACAGTAATGAACATCAGGACAGAGGTATAGGAGTTAAATTAAAAGTGGGGGCCGTAAGGCCCTGGAAGCTCTTGGGTCCTGGATTAAATTTGGCTGCATTCTCCCGCTTTTCCTAAGAGTAATATTTTCTCTAATTTTGATGTAT